GGTTATTGCACGGGGGGGGGAAGGGGGGGGGTTGGGGGGAAGGATGCATTGGGGTGGGTTGGTACCGTGGAGGTGGAGGGCATAGACCGCCCCACAAACTGGTTCAGTTTTTGGAGAAGAGACATTAAAAGATGCCCACCGCCACCTCCAGTTTGTTAGACGGTTGCAGCAAAGCTGCACCCTGGTTTTACACCCAGGAGAAACTTTCAGGGGGTGAAGAAAAAGAAGAGGGGGATAAGGGATGCACCAACTTGGTCCAAGTGGTCCCGGAGCAGCCCTGGCTGGAGAAAGCCTCCAGCCCCTGCTCCTGCCCAGCCTGGGAGCCTCCGGGACCCTGGGCACCAGCCCAGCACAGGAGGAAGAGCTCTCACTCCAGCCTCCCTGCGACAAGATTGACTAATCCTGTCCTTGTGCCTGCCTTAACAAAGTGTCACGTCCCTCTGCTGACATGGAAATGGCCTTTTGCTTGCATGCCTCCATCCTGCGGCTTTGTCTTGGTGATGGGAAAAACGCAGTCCTCGAAGGGGTGCGTGCCTCTGGAGGGGGTGCGTGCCTCTGGCTGGCTGTCGTGGGCGATGGGACCTCCAAATCCTGCCAGGAGAGCGGGTCCCCGACAGCCCCGAGGAGGTCTGCAGGATGCCACGTTGGCACAGGGCGTCCCCTTGCAGGGCTGGGCCGTACAAACGCAAGAGAGGATGTTACCGGCTGCGCATTCCCCCACATTCCCTCTATTTTCACCCTGGGTTATGAATTCACCAATAATCTCAGCCGTAATCCAAGGATGGGCAAAATTTCTCTGTCTCGCTGCCACGGGATGCATCGCTCGTTGCAGCCCAGCGCGCCCGGCCAAATTTCTTGCCAGTCTCTGAAGTAATGAACCTTTTTTAAGCTGAGGATGTAAGCAGCATGGGCCGCCCGTTGCTTGCAAGAGAACTACTCCATGTATCTGTTTTCTTTCAGAATGAAAAAGGCAAACGTTGACCTCACTATGAAAGAGTTTCAAGGTATCTTTAGACATAAAAGGGAAGAAAAAAAAAGAAAAACCCTCAGATTTTAAATGCTTGCCACGCCCGATGCTGTCTGCACCTTAAAAGTGTGTCAAGGGCAGTTTTGAGCCTGTTGCACAAGTCTTTGCTTTTAGGTAGCCGGGATGGCTCTTCCTTTCAACGGGAGGCTTGCTCCCAAAAGGATTTTAGGATACAAATTGCCTCCCTCTCTGAGGCTACGTAATTCCCACTCTGGCAAAGGGTCCCTGGTGCAACTGCGCACGCTCTTTGCTTCGGGCTATGTGCGTGTTTCCTTCCATATGTAATCCCAGCGGGCCCTTCGCTTCCTGCTCTGTTTGCTTTAACCCTGAAGCTGCCCCGTTGCAGCCCTTTCTTGTCTCCGAATGCAAGGAGCGGCCTCTGAGGCTGGCCAGGAGCAGGGTGGGAGGAGAGGACTGAGGAATGCAACTTCACTGTAGCCTTGGGCATGATGCAGCCTGTCCAGGAAAAGCTCGCTTTGGGCTTGGAGGCGGAATTTAAGCCCTGAGGATCTGCCATCAGGAAGGTTTGCTGTGAGCAGTGTGAAGTCGGGAGGGAGGGAGGGTCTGGGGTGAGGGTATAGCCTCGGAGGCAGGCGGGATGAGCTGCTTTTTGGAAATATATTTTGCTGCCTATTTAGTAGAGGAGTCCAAATAACTCACTTGGAGTAACCGTTCGCCCTTTAGACGCACTGGTGCTCCAGACAGCTTTCAGGCACAGCGTTTAGGACTGCTCAGTCTGCAGATTTATCGAAGCTAGTAGCTCAGAGCCCTCACTGGGGATGGGTGCACCTACATTGTGATGAGATGCATCTACCTAATGCATGAACGTACTGGGAAGGGGCTCTGCTGGGGGAAAGGAGGGGTCCACCACCTTCCTCTGTCCCAGTACCTCCCCGGCAGGGCTGTACGGGCAGAACTAAGTCGGACAGAGCTGGACCAGTGTTGGATCTTCTCAAGGGGCCCCTCTGACTTAGCTTGGTGGAAGCTCACGTGCTCCATCTAGTGTCTAGAAAGCTGAGCATTTGGGTACCGAGCTGGGGTCCCCAGAGAGGACGATCCCTGCTGTACACTGACCGCGATAGCCCCTGGATCGACAGGCAGCACTGTGCTATGTGGCCCTTGGGCAGCAGAAACATCCCGCTTTTAGCTTTTCCTGACCGGGGCAGAGGTTTGACGTGCTACTCTGGGGACAGAAATATCTGTTGCTTCCATTCCCTGGCCCCTCCTTAAATAATTTACTGTACATGAACATATAGTAATGTAGTAGAATTGCTTAAAAAGGAAGCTTTCATTCAAAATGCACAGGCTCTGCATGCCAGAGTGCAGCCTGGACTCTTGAAGATTAATTGTTCCTCAGGGGAAAGCCCAGTGTGGACTTGGCATCGCTGTACCCCAAGTGAAGGGTTGATGCAGGCGCTCTGGCTATCACTGGCACCTAGGAGTGGGTTTCACTGGAAGAGCCCCTGGGGTCTCTGAATGCTCCAGGAAGGGCTTGAATCATGCTGACGGTGAGCTCTTCTTGCCCAACAGGTCCTCAGAGGTGTTGGGTGCTGCTGAAGCCATGCGGATTATTCTGGTGCTTGCTCTCTGCGGCCTCGCTGCAGCCGTGCCCTCGGAGGACAGGAAGCTGAGCGACAAGGCAACAACGCTGGCTGACCGCAGCACAACGCTGGCCTTCAACCTCTACCATGCCATGGCGAAAGACAAGAACATGGAGAACATCCTGCTGTCCCCCGTGGTCGTGGCCTCTTCCCTCGGCCTCGTGTCTCTTGGGGGCAAGGCCACAACCGCCTCCCAAGCCAAAGCAGTGCTCAGCGCAGACAAACTGAACGACGACTACATGCACAGCGGGTTGTCCGAGCTCCTGAATGAGGTTAGCAACAGCACAGCCCGCAACGTCACCTGGAAGATCGGCAACCGCTTGTATGGCCCTGCCTCCATCAACTTCGCCGATGACTTTGTGAAGAACAGCAAGAAACACTACAACTACGAGCATTCCAAGATCAACTTCCGAGACAAGAGGAGCGCCCTGAAATCCATTAACGAGTGGGCAGCCCAGACCACGGATGGGAAACTCCCAGAGGTCACGAAAGACGTTGAGAAAACTGATGGGGCCCTCATTGTCAATGCCATGTTCTTCAAGCGTAAGTTCTACCTTCAATTCTTGATACAAGTGACCCAAAACCTAGCCTGAGCCAATACGCAGCAGCCCAAATGGGAAGGTGAACAAATCCTAAGTCCACTGGAGGCATGCTCTTTTTCAGAGCAAGTAGTTAGGAATTGTGCATGAAATTACCACCCATTCCCTTTTCTTACAAGCTGAATTTCTCTCTCCTGTAGCTCACTGGGATGAGAAGTTCCATCATAAGATGGTGGACAACCGTGGCTTCATGGTGACCCGTTCCTACACTGTGGGAGTTCCCATGATGCATCGCACAGGTACGTTGTGAACCTCCTGCCCCATGTCAAGACCAACTGGAGTTATGCTCGCTGCTGCTCCGTTACCCGGTTTTCCACCAATTGCTTCCAAGATTGTTTTGCCTCATGGTCAATGAGTGAGAGAGAACAAAGCAGAGTGTGCTTGTTCGGCTGATTCAATCTGTCTGTGAGCAGAGAGAACCCATGTTTACTATTGGGTGCTTGGCTGTTAGGAATAAATCCTAGCTCATCACGCAAACGAGAGCCGCAGTTTTGAGTTGTTGCCAACTCCAGCAAGGCTGGGCCGGTTCCCAAAAGCGTTCAGACTTGCTTCCCTTGCTGGTCAGGGAAAGTCCAGGGTGAATTCACAACAAGGTTGTGGGTAGCTTTGCCTCTGCTCCACATCTCACCATTTCCCGCTTCTGATTTCAAGGTCTCTACAATTACTATGATGATGAGACAGAGAAGCTCCAGGTGGTAGAGATGCCACTTGCTCACAAGCTCTCCAGCATGATCTTTATCATGCCAAACCATGTGGAGCCTCTGGAGAGGGTTGAGAAACTGCTGAACAGGGAGCAGCTAAAGGCCTGGGCTGGCAAGATGAAGAAGAGATCAGTGGCCATCTCGCTGCCTAAAGTCATCCTGGAAGTCAGCCACGACCTTCAGGTAAAGGAGGTCCTTAAAGAAAACAGTTGGGCCTCACAGTTCTTTGGGGTGGGAGAGGAGTTAGTGCCATGATGGGTTATCTCTGCCCGTCATCCTTTTTCCAGCGGCTAGTCTAACCATAGCTGGAAAGGATTGCACTGTGTCATCTCTGGGAGGGTTGTTGACCTCTTTTCTCCTCCTAGAAACATTTGGCTGATCTGGGCCTGACAGAAGCAATTGACAAAACCAAGGCTGACTTGTCAAAGATCTCTGGCAAGAAAGACCTTTACCTGTCCAACGTCTTCCACGCTGCTGCTCTTGAATGGGACACGGAAGGGAACCCCTACGATGCTGACATCTATGGCCGAGAGGAGATGAGGAACCCCAAGCTCTTCTATGCTGACCACCCCTTCATCTTCATGATCAAGGACAGTAAAACCAACTCCATTCTCTTCATCGGCAGGCTCGTGAGGCCCAAAGGGGACAAGATGCGTGATGAGTTGTAGTTAGGGTTTTTTTTCCCAGAGCTTTGGTTTGTGTTTTTTAGTGGGGGATTTCAAAAAAGGGGAAACACTATTTTGTATCCTTCTCGAACTATGGGTGCTATTCAGACCAGGGTGCATTGTGATGAGAAACCAGCATACACTTTACCTCACCCCAAAATACTTATTGCACAAACCCACCTCCAGAGAGGAACAGGGGAGCCTGGCACAAGAGGGTCACCGGGAGTGGAAGGGAACTGGCATGCACTGTCTCAGCTACTGGCATCCTCAGCTGAGATGTTCAGGCTGATGCCTAGCTCCTCCCTGCACTAGAGTTAAGCCTCCTGGCTAAGTACCTTGCTGCTACCATCAGCCCCGCAAAGGCACAAGCCCTCCACCCTTCCATCTCAAATGCTTCTGCACATTTAGCTCTGCCACTTACTTTTCTCCCCCTTTGATGCTACGAGGCACCGCACTAGAGCTGCTCTGGCCGCTTTGCAGTTGTTCCTTGCTTCCCTCTTCTATCTTCAGTAGTATATAACAGAGCACGAAGGGCCAATTCTGCAGTCCAGCCCCCTCTATGGCCCTGGGAGCAGAGGAGGACCGTGACAGCATGTAAGAACAGAGATTGTATGGAGTTGTGCCCTTCTGTCCTGCCTAACCCTGCTCTGGACGACTGTCAGATGCTTCAACCACAGCAGGTCGTCAGCTCCTTAGCTAGAACACTCACTGCAAAGCCAAGCGCAGCTTTGCTCAACACCTCACAGAGAAGTAAGTGGCTTAGGGGTGTCAGCAGAGAGGCCAAGGAGCAGATGGGCTTCTAGAAAGATAAACGTGAGTACCCTTCAACACTCTTGCATGACAGAAATGGCTGTGCTCCACCCCTCTGGGGATCACGAAGGGGGCTCTTGGGCCAACATCTGGAATTAAAACATCCTGTACCAGGCAGAGGAACTCCACTTGTCTTGGTGCTTCTGCATCACACATAGGGCTGGGAAAAAGACAGTTACCACTGTGAAGGTTCTTCCCAGTTATGACCAGGGCTGGTACCTATCAGCTCCCGTAGCAGGCCAAGGGACTCCTGCTGGCTTCTCACAGGGAGGTGGATCAGGTTCACTTCCCCTTTCTTGTTTAAATACAAAGCTTGAGAGCTGCCGTTACCTGACTTCCTAACGACCCTTTTCTGAAGCTCCTCTCCTCCGTGATGCTTTAGCTCCCTGTTGACTGACCTGGATAAGGGCATGCTGAAAAACAAATGTATTTATAGTTATACTCATATTTATGTCTGATAATTAGCAAATTTCACAGCCTGCTCCAGCCTAGACTTGGAGGCTATTCCTATCTTCAAGGGATATCATCAGGTTAATACTATTTAAAGAAGTAACTGATATGACCCCATGAGCATTGAAGCATGCGTCAGGTAAGCCTTGCTATGCACTGAGACATTGCAAAGCAAGTAACAACAAGACTATTGAAATGAGAGAAATCTGTGCATCACCATCCTAAGTGCCAGTTACTGGAAACCAGCAAGGACAGTGACTGCATTGCTTTTACTTCCCTGCCAATGTGCTTGCTGTCAGCTGTTGCTACACAGAAGCCCAATACTGCATTTTTTCAGGCCATACACAGGACTACTTCCACTTATTTATTAAGTTACAACTACAAAGTCATATTAGGTGGTTCCTACAGGCAAAAATACAGGAGCTTGCGCCCCCAAGTTTGACCCGACCATGCCTTCTCCAAGTTTGCAAGGTTACACAATTGCAGAAAAGCTCGTCTGCCCTAATTCCTATCCAAGCCAGCTGGAATGGGAGATCTTGTCCCTAACTCTCTTCCCAGATCATACTCCCAGGTGCTTTCCCCACCGTGCTGGGAGGTAGGAGGCAATCCATAAGGATGTACCCAAATGCACAGGAAGCCTAAAGCCCAGTGTGTATGCCAGACACTACCCGGTGAATCAGCGCACCAACACACTGTGGGATATCGTGAATAATTTGCATCATGTGGATGCAGGCGTCTGATGGCTTTTATTGTCTGTTGTACCACACAATGACAGTTGTATAATTTTGCAATAAAACTTTTTCAGTGAACCTCTGGCAGCCACAGTCACTTGCAGGGTTTGGGTGGAGACAAAATACTCTGAAAAGAGCTTAGAGAGGTTCCTTGCCATCCTTAAATCCAATACACTTTTTTTAATCTGGTAATTATGGACCAAAATTACACTTAATACACAGCAACATGTGAATTCCCACGACATCCGTGTCATGGGAAAGGAACGCTATTAGCAGACTGGCTTTTCACTTTAACGTTTTTCTCCTGAAACTGCAAGTATCCAACATCTTTAATGCTTCACGGGTAAGAGGACCTACTGCCCTCCCCTGCTCTGACATTTAATGGAGCAGCAAATGGCTCAGTTAAAAAGGAAATATGGCAGCGCAGGAATAAAACTGAGCTGTTAGCCACAGGGACCAGCCGTCCTGACCCTGCAACCCAAAGCTTCTCTAGCTGGGATCCAGTCGAGATAAATAGAGGAAAAAGAACCACAAGAACCTGCACCATGGCCGTGGGAATACAGCTAAGTCTTGGAAAATCCAGTGCCGTCAGACCCTGCTGGAAACGGATTAACCTGCTGTCCATTCAAGCATGCCACCTTCTGCCACTCAGACAAAAGCAAAACTAAAGCCACAGACATCTCCCCTTTTCCCTGTGCCAAAATAGCACGTATCTGGGAGGGGCAGGCACACACATCCACATGGGAGCTCCTCACAAACTGAAAAAGCACTGGGTGCTTGCCGGATCACAGTCCTTCACCGTACAAAATTACTGAAGCCATCTCTAGCACTAACCATAGCAGCCCAGCAACACCCTCAGCCTGGAATAGCAATATTGCAAGGAAGTGAAAAGCTTTCCACAGCTCCTGAGCTCGTCCTACCCCCAGCTCGTCTTGCAAGCAGCTTTAAATACTCGTGTTTTTCATCCTAGGGAAGATGTGACCCTCAAGACACAGGGAACTGAGCGAGTCCCCTACCTCTCCTTTAGCTTCTTCAAACAGCTCACGGTGGTGGTATACTCCAACCAATGCACGCTAGAAAAGTATTCCGTTCACACACGCAAACCTTGACCGTTATGGGATAATCCTTGATCTTGTCCTCAACTTCCCACAACAGGATGGATCTAGCAAAAAGAGAGGTACAGCAATACCACTCGTAAACGCACTACTTGCACATCTCTTGATCTTACACACAAGCAAGTAACCCTTGATTCTACCAGTGATCAGCACTGTGAGATTAATAGGCTGATGGGACCAGGCTGGAGGGCTCTAAACCAGAGAGAGTTGAGTGATCTCCAGGAAAGCCAGCCCTCACTGGAGAATTGCAGGAGAAATTTCCAGCTGATCATCATCTAGCATATAGGGATTTTCAAGAATTTAGATACAACATACAAGGCCTTGCACTGTGTGTCACCTTTCTACTGCTTCAGGCCTTCCAGCTTTCACACATTCCCTGCTCCTACAAAGTGACAAAGCTAGTCCAATTTTTTTTGATTTTTTTTTTCAAAATTCAAATTCATATTTTAAAAAAATTTAAAAATTAATGTTGCTATTACTTACTCTAACACTTAACATGTAATAACTTTTTTTAAAGCTTTCCACTGAAAGATGTGCACAGAAACCTGAAATCAGACTCATTCTCTGACACCCTCGGAAGGCACATCTGTCTCTGACAGACTTGCCCAGCTTCCCAGCCAGCACCCTGCCAGGCTGGGTTTCCAGGAGGCCTGCCAGAGAAGCTGGGAACAGGAAGGTTGAGGCTCACACATCCACACACGCTGGCAGACAGACCAGTTCCTGACACCGTCAGTTTGAAATTCCAGTTCCTAAGTTAACCTGCCTAGCTCCTGCAGAGAAGCCTCCTGAAAATGGACATCTGGATGCAAAAGCTCTTCCTAAGCAGCAAATTTTGCAGATTTGTACAATTTTTGTTAATGCAACAAACAGGTTCTGAATTTCTCAAAATCTGAACAAAACAAAGCCTTGATCCTGCACACAACATGATCCCTTACAATGTGTGTAACAGTCTCTTCCCATTACCGCATCGGACTTTGAAAAACACTCTGGGAAAGGAGCTGACAGAACTAGAATCTCTGCCTGAAACTTAACCAAATGCTCAGTCTCACTGCTTCAGCTACAGGGCTTTAGCCTGACCGCAGCAGACAAGAGCAGCATCAGAAGTAATTCATACAGCAACAGAAGTGAAAACACATCCCTGCCTACAGACTATGCATTTCAATAGCCTAAGTAGCCTTGTCATCTATTATCAACTTCAGGATCTACCTGTGTTATCCTACAGCTCATTAAAGCCGGTTATTAATACAGTGACAAATTAATGGTCTACTCAAGCTTCAAAGGAAGACAAGTTTTTTCCCCAATTGCTTAAATATATTTCCATCTCAAAGCTTAGTACAGAAGGTTTGAAATCCAGAGTGTACGCTTTCTCCGCCCCCCAACTAATGTCTAAATACCTATTCGGAAGTTTGTCTCACCCCACATCTCCACCAACTAAGGTTACCTGACCCTAACAGGAGCTACAATGTTCCTATACTGTCTATAGCCCTGAAAATCACAGTGAACGTCTTTTCAGTGACAAGGGAAATGAATGTACAGAGGTGAAAAAAGCATTTAGCAGAATATAGAAATACTTCAGTTGAAGCCAGAAAGTTATAAACCACTGCAACTGCTTTGGACATTCCTAAAAAAAGCTCCCTCTTCTGGAAACCTCGGAGAAAGGGACTGGTAACTGAAGAGTTACCAGTACTACTCCAGTTCATGGGGTGTTATTCATGACCCTCTAAACACCAGATTGCTGCTCCAGCTCTACCTAGAAATCAGCATTTTGTCCCCACTTTGTTTAGATCAGGATCTGGTAAGTTCACTCCAAAAGGGTAACAGAAGCTGGAAGAAATGCAATGGAATTCCTTCCATACCAAAGGTGGGAGCAAGGCTTTCCTGGAACACATCTTGCAAAAAAAAGCACCTCCACAAACACTGTCTTTTGTGATTTTATTAAGAGATGTTTTCAGGACAGTCAAGCTTCTGGTTGCCGATGTTACAAACCCTACAACAAAAAAACAAAATACTGAGTGAGATGGTGGCAAACCATTTCCTGTAACCATTCTCCTACCCAAAACACTGAACAAACAAACAGGCTCCAAGTTTTCAAATTAAATGGCATCTCTCACTTCTTGTGTTTTAGCCAACGATCCCCCTTTTCCCCACAGGAGCAGATCTTGCTAGTCAGATTCCCTTGTTTCACTGTGGCCCTGCAAACTCCCTGAACTCTCCCTGTTCACACAAGGCCAGCTTCAGTCAGAGAACACCACAGCCTGGCTTTCACTAGCAGCTAAGGAAGTCTTCCGAAGAGGCCTTAGGCCCTGTGCCTCCTGCTGCTCTAATCGGAGAAAGTGAGCAAAACTTTTAAAAGCAGCAAGTTGCACATTTTCACTGGGAACAACCCAGAGCAGGTCTCAGACAATTTCAAGCTTATCAATTTCTGCCTTAGAAGCTACTCATTCAAGGAGAGAGGATTTCAAACCTTGAGTATTTACTTACGAAACTAGCCTACACATTGTGCTCAACGTTACTGACTTCTAAGTCTATCCCAAAGTGGATCCCATGGGGGGCGGTATATGAGGAATATATACCCTGTGCTGTCAACTGCACACTGGTAGCAGGTGGTACAATGTGAAAACATCCAAGGCACTGAACCCTTCTCAGACAAATGCCTCTAAGTCACTCAAATTGTGACCCAAGGTCCCCAAATGCATGCTGTAGAACACAACACCAAACAGGGCACTTGGACAAGGATATTCCCTTTCAGACTTGTCATCTCATCTTCACTGAAGGGTGTGCTTAGCTGGTTTGCAGCATGCCTTAAGCCATGGCCCCTTCATCCAGGGCAATACTCTAAACCCAACTCAGCTGATCACTGCACCTGGTACAGCGCAGCAGCTTTTCCTCCCAGTACCCCAGCTACCCGACAGCTTTTTTGGTGACACAACACCTTTTCCGCATGGATCCTCACCAAAGCTATCTCCCACCGCTCGCAGGCACTTACCCCTCAGGCAGTGGGAACCGGCTGAGGCATCGCTGGCTGTTCTGGTTTGCCACCTTTCTGCTCTGAAATGGGGGTGGTGGGCAAGATCTCTTCTTTGGGTTCCACAATGCTGACATGGTCTGGCAGAGGCTTTTTGGGGCCAATCTTTCCACTTGGGTCCCAGGGCAACATAATCTTTACTTTGATCCCCAGTACTCCTGCAAAGAGTGACAGGACAACACAGATGTGTTCATTCGACACAAAACATCAAGCACACATTCAGCAGTGACAAGCCCCAAGGTTACAAAATACACCACCTGCATCAAAAACATCTCTGGACAACACTGAAGATGCAACCTGATTAACACAAATGTGCTATAGCTTAAAAATCTAGTTACTGAATTTAAATCAGCGTGTTTACCTTCATCCAATTCACTGCCTTTGCTAACTGCAGCCTAGGACTATGATGAAAACATGCTCTATCCTTAAGTCATGCCGTGGTTTTTAAACCCTGTCTTTCCCAGGGTAACTCAGCTCACTTTCCAAGGAAATTGCACTGGTTTTTTTGCATCCCTTCTCAGACAAATGCCTCTAAATCACCCAATGAATAGGACATCCTGCCCAAGGCAGCCTTAGCACAGCACCACAGAACATGGCACTGAACAGGCTGCAATGATACAAGGACATCCCTTCTGACTCGTCATCGTATCATCACCGAAGGGAAGGTGGAGAATAGCTTTGTCTATGCTAGTATCCCTACATCAGGTGTTCTGCAATTAAGTAACCCAAAGCCAATTAAGATGCAGAAGTCGCCCATGTTTTACCAGGCAGAAGGACAAGTGTAAGCAGGCTTGGCTGGTTTAGCTGGGAAGACCTGACAGAGCACAGCAACGGGGGAAAACTGTCTGACACTTGCTTTTCCGTGGGTCTTGTAGCACCCGTGTTCTATCTGCCTACCCCTATAAGCCGAGAAAGCCAGAATCCAAACTGCCAACAGCTCTTAAACTCAGTCAATATGCGTTTCATTTGTAAGTTGTTTTGCTACCAACCTGAGAGGCCACAGGACACAACTGAGAGTATCTGGAAAATCTAAAGCCACATTCTCAACTGGAAACATTCAATCCCCACCACTAGAAAAGTGGATGACCTGGGATGGCTACACAAAATTCTGTTGTCTGCTGAAGGCCCCGTCTCCATTTCCCATTCACGTAACACAAATGCAAATAAAGGTCTACTTCAGATGTAACGTGCAAACTCCACAGTGAGAGCTTAGTTGCAAAAGCCCAAGAAAACAACAGATCTTCAGAGTCAGAGCAACTAGTGGTAGCAAAACTGAACCACTCTGCAAGATCAGTGGTGCATCAAAATCATCTGAGTTACCACCCCGCAGGTGACAGAGGGAAGCCTCCAACCTGCAGGCACGGGACGCCAGGAGTTGAGATCTTCTGGCTCTGAAGCACTGAGAGAAGGAACCAACAGAGCTGCAAAGGGATCTGCATCCCAGCCACTCACCCTGCCGGAGAAGGACATGACGCACAGCTGTGTCGACGTAGTAATTCACCGGGTCTCCACTGTGGATCATCAAGCCATCCACAAACTTCATGGACTTGGCACGCTGACCTCTGAGTTTGCCGGACACAACCACCTCACAACCCTTGGCACCGCTCTCCATGATGAAGCGGAGGACACCATAGCAGGCTCTGCAGGGAGAGAGCAGCAACAGCCACAGCGTTACTCCCACTCTGCCAAATCCACATGGCTCCGTGGAGGCATTTTACACCAATTTCAAGCACAGGCAATCACACTTCAACTTTTGTTTGTAAAAAGCCTTCCGAACGCACACCCGTGCAACCGAAGCTCTGTCAATGCTACGCAAGGCAGCAAAAATCTTCACACCGTTTTAGCAGTGTCAAACCCAGCCTAACAAAACTCTTGTGACTTACGGTCCTTGTGAGATTGTGGAAAACAGTGACAAGCACACATTCTTTGTAACACAAAAGCAGCTCCACAGCTGAAGGTGGCCAACACACCCACGTCAGGAGTGCAGCTCCCCATCCCTTCTCAGACAAATGCCTCTAAATCATTCAGTGATGACGGGATGCTCCTGCTGAAGAACCACAGGCAGCATCACAGAACATGACGCTGCAGAGGTACCGCAACAAGAGCCACCCGCTTCTGACTCGTCATCTTATCATCACTGAAGGGATCTGAGAAGCAAGGCCACTGTCACCTGAACTACAATTCAGCCAGAAGGTTTGAAATTGTGTTTCACTCCTCCACCCATTTATTCACAAAGAAATAAATGCAAGCTTTATGCATACCAGTCAGACAACTTGTAACGTGATCTACTCTAAGACTTCAGCTTTTATGTCTGAAATACATTATCTAGCAATTACTATCAAAAGTAACTGTGTACTAAACACAAAAAGCTTCTATACGGTAGAATTATCAAACATATGAACTGCCCTCTTCAAGCGCAGCATTACTAGGTTACATTTTCAAACTAAAGACAAGTTGGCAAGGAGTTTTTTTGAAACGGTATTTGAACCCCACACTTCCTCACTGTGCCATCACATTCAACTTGCTCTACTCACCGACGCACTGCTAAACCTCCCAGAAGCTTGTACCGCAGGGACTCTGCCTGAGCGATTGCACACAGACCTCTTGTGGCCACCTTCTCAGCATAGAGCTAACAAAGGAAAAGAAGTAAACTCAGAAACAGGGCTGTATTTCAAGATACTTTTAATTTAACAGAACACAGGAGCTTCATACTACTCTATGCCCCATCCTCTCCACCCAGTGCAGTTAGTCCTTCCACATTTACATGCAGAAGCTTCATCCTCGGACACTACACTACCTTAACTCCTTTGGTGCCTGCCTCCTACTCCTGGCAGAGCTGAGACACACTGACGACACTCCACTGAAAGTCAGGAGACTATTAAGACATCCATGATGCAGTCTCAAAGAGCTGCTGCTTCACACAGCCCCAAAACATTAGGTAGCACTGGGGAGAGGTATCCAGACAATCACAAGAACTTTGCTTGAGACACAGTTTTTACAACACATCCGTTACGTAAGTCTGCTTAAGTATTAAAATCAAACCTAAGAAAAGGTTTGATTTTTGAAAGCTGGGAGTGAGGTGTATTAAACCTAACATCTCCAAGAGACCAAAGTCTGATACTTCAGAAGAAGCAGACATTCAAAATCATGCACATGATATTCCTAGAGCTGACAAATCATGTTGTGGTCTGTGAGGGTTTGTGCCATCCACTATGTTTAAGCATTTGCTGGAGATAATCATCAATCTTCACTGTATAATGTGATCCAGCAACACTGGCCAAGCAGGAATAAATGTGAGCACCACCCCAGACCACACATTCCCCCCCGCCCCTAATTTGTTTTAGAGGAAAGTACCAGTAAGGGCACCAGATTTCAAACATTAGAAGACTGGAAATTACTGGTGTGTCACTTTACTGTCCATTTCATTACAGGATCATACTCAAAAATCTCAAAGATCTTTCTGCACTGAAACAGTTTCTTTGTAAGGACAGAAGCATTATGAATTCAATAAGGGTAATGGTAACACACGAATACCAAACATTATGCTGTTAGACTAGCTTCTCACCTCAATATTGGGACAGCAACATTCTCTATAAAATATTTACAGATAAGTTTAAAAAGTTTCATCCGCATTCTCCTTGTTGAGAAATCAGAGAAAACCAGCCGAAGTGACAGCACTCAAAATACCACAAACAGCAAAGCATTTTGTATTTCAGTGCAAGAGTGTTTTGTGAAAACAGGTAAAACACGCCCCAAGTTATCTTCAAGTCAAACTGCCTTTCAGCTGACACCATCCAGACAGCGCACAAAGCTAACTGCACAACCCACTTACTACTTGTTTTAACCGAGACAGTTTTACCTCAACGCTTCCCTCAGGGAATCCAAACCTCTTCTGCACGACGGCCGTCAGCTCCCGGATGCGGCGTCCCTTCTCACCCAGGACATTCTGAGTTCTGGGAAAAAAAAGTACAGAATGACTGAGAAAAGTGTCTCCAGGTCTGAGCCTGTAACCACCCCAAAGAGCTTCCAGACTGAGCATCTAACTTAGTTCAGGGGTTGTAACACTGCCTCATCACTAAAGATCACTTCGGGATCTCTTTCCTAAGTAGCTTCTCATAGTAATATTTACCACTTTAAGCTTCAGCCTGCCGCGGCATCCCTTACAGCCGTGCACAGCACCTGTGAGTCAACAGCAGCATCTCAGTTACCTGGTGGCAAGTATGATAATCTCAGTCCTGGTTGGAGTGACCCGGACTTCTACTCCGGAGTACCCATCTTCAGCCAGTTCACGAGTCAGAAACTCATTCAGCTCAGCTTTGAAGATACCGTCAGCGACAAACTGAAAAACAAACGGACCAAGTCAAGCTCTGTTCAAGTGCTGAGCCTGAACACAAGATTTTCACCTTCGGAGTTCAAGTGCAATTCATCCCTGGGACCATCCTGCACTGGCAGTCTCTCCCCCAACGGAGAGGAAGCAGCAGTGGGGAGAAATAAAAGCATCTCCCCTGAAGTTCCCAGAGACAATTCACTTCTGGCAGGAGCCTACACCACTGCCTGATCCGCACCTCGCTACAGCCACACTTCATGCTGAAATCATAGCTCGCTGCTATGTCTTGCGGTGGTACTTTGATTCGGTATGGATTTACGTAAAATAATTAGAGGGGTCACATCCCTTTACCAGCCCCACAGGGGCCTGCTGCTAGGGCTCCCACTTCCACCCTGACAGTGCACAGGCCCTCAGGCCTCCCTCCCTCTCCAAGACAGGCAGAGCCCTGCACCCTCCCGGCCCCTCTGACCCACAGAAGCAGGCAGTCACTAAACCCAAACTCTTTCCACTAAAAACAACAAAAAAGAAAAACCA